CAGGGTTTTCGGCGTACTTCCACCCCGTCGGTATTTCGCCACTTCCAAGAGATTTAGGAAATCTTAGAGTAACTTGTCACACCACTTAGCGTAATGGTGCAAAAAAGCATTTGGGCTGTTTTCTATTCCGACAGACTTTTTAAAGGGATACTGCAACGATACTTCGGCGCTTATTTTTTGGTCTATTCGCGTTCAGGGGAGCAGTATCACATCAGACAAACGAATCTCTCGTTAAAAAAGACACGAAAAAGATTTTTAAAACGAATTAAACGAGTAGCAAAGAGCACCTGGTGGATGTCGCTAACGCCTCGTTTGTAATGCCCCTCTAGGCACCTTGACAGGTAGTGACGATAACTGTCTCGCCTCCGGCCACCACAAGAGAAGAGGAAAAGTACGAGCTCCCCTCTTCCCGAGACTCTCTTTTCTGTGCCTCAGACGTCGGTATTGACAATCTATAATATTATAGAAGATTAAAACGTCACTGTGCAAAAGCAACTTTGGTGTTAGTTCTGGTGGTCCGATCGCTAGCGTGCTTCGGCCACTTTGGTGGCTAGAACGTCTAGGACATCGTCTCGACGTCAGCCTCACCGCAGCTTTGGTCGTCCCGAGACAATCTACGTCACGATTGCGGCGGATGTCACGTACTCTCCGTTGGCTGCTCTCCGAGAGCTTGCTACAGTGGGCGGTTTATAACGAAAAATGAAGACATCAGGCTCGAAACACAAATGTTATATTCTCATTTATAGGGATCTTGTAGATCATATTCTGCCTATTTCTGAACACGACAGGTACATTTAAACTTTCGTTAAAGTATCCCTTTCATGTCCAAAAAAAAAAAGTGTATTTTTTATAATTTGTTATGTCTTCCAATGGAACGGTGTTCTCCGGCACGTCAAAGCTTAGGGCATATGTTATTTGTTATGAAAGCCGTTCAGCTTGTAGGAAATCGCGTACCGCCGCCGATTCGCCATTTCCCACGTGGTCCGTCAACAAACCGAGTCCAGCCTGGTTCTTTCACGGGAGCGGGATTCCGCTCCCCGTTTATTCGTACAATAAAACACAACACTACAAAACACTCAATCTAAACTACAAATACAAGCTACATTACACAATTATTTACAAATGCACGTTCAGGCTAAAGCTAAACACAAAGGAGGCCCTTAGGCCTCGCGTCCCGCGATATCCTAGATCCGGTCGCCAGCGCCACCCACTTGCCTGCCAGTGCCTGCGTCTCGGTCGCGTCCGGAGTTCTTAGAGGCCTCTTGCCCCCTGCCCCACCGAGTATATCTATCGATGGGCGAGGAGGTTTCTCCTCGCCTGCCACGGGGGCGCCTGCAGCGCCCTCCAGTGGCTAGGAGAGAAAGCGGCGCGTCGGGAGCCGAATTCGAGATCCCGATCGACCCCGCGGCAACACGACCATGTGATCGTGTCGCGGCCAAGATTGGCCGAATGGTTTGATGGGCGCCCTCGTGAATTCACGGTGCGCCATACTCCCCTCTCCTAAAAATCGAAGTACGCCGGAATTCAGACGTACGGCTAGGCTGCTGGGAACACCGTCGCTTGGTTTGGCCTGGAGACCCCCCACACGCACACACACACCGCTGGTCCCATGGGTCGTCCTCACTGAGGTCCATCAGTTCGCCCGAGACCTGGGGTGCGCGGCCACCACACACCTCGCAGTAGACTGTGTCGACTTCGGCTTGGCGGCGGCCTCCGGGGCAACGGGGTCCTTGAGCAGTGTGCCTGGCCACCATGAGACTGGCCCCTCCACAGAGTGGTGCACCGGAGAGGGACTGTGGTTGCGACCCAGCTGCGACCGCCCTCCCGGAACGATGCGGGGCTGGAAGTCCAGTGTCACTGAGAACTGCACCCCGGCGTCCTGCGTGGCGTCGCAGACGTCCCACAAGGCTCCCCGAGCTGTGGTTCCTGCCGGGGAATACGCTGCCAGAAGACGAGGAGCTCAGCCCAAGCTGGTGTTTGTCCAAACGGCGACTCCTCTTTTCATCCCTCCCAGAGAGGACCATTCGATGCACACCAAGTTGCGTCTCGAAGCAGCAGCCGCAGGGGCGATGACGCACAAGAAAAAACAAAAAACAAAAAAAAACAAAAACATTCAAAGCACAAACAAGAAAAACAAACACTGAGGGTTCCGAGGCACCCTCCCCCCACCCACAAAGAAAAACAATAAAAAAAATGCCGGGAACGTCGATTTCGGATCGCTCCCCCCTCTTCTTCCCTTTCCCGGGCCACGCACTCTACGAAGTTCCGATCCCATCGGGTTGCCTCTGGCTACGCGTGTTGTAGCTGTGCCGCGGTGGTCCCAGGAACTCCTGAGATCGTTGGCGCCCGCGAATGCCCCTTTGCGGCCGCTTGACCGGCTCATCCCCTTCCCTGGGGAAAAAGGGTTTCAGTTCGCCGATGTGGACTGTCCCGCGGACGAGATCAGAATTCTGGTCCCTCAGCGTGTATGTCAGTCGAGACTTCTTGGAATCGATGACAAAGGGGCCAACCCACTTGGGGGCCAACGCCGCCGAGAAGAACTTACTCGCATCGCTCTGCACGTGACTTCGCCGCAGAACGGTGTCGCCCACCTCGAACTGCGCATCGCGGTGCGCTTTGTCATAGGTGTTCTTCTGCTCCGCCCGCGCGCGAGCCCTGTTTCCGCGGGCGGCGTCCAGCGCCCGCGACAGTCGCTCTCTTGTGCGCGTCGCGAAGTCCTCGTACGAGGGCACCGCTCTGGCCGCGCTCTGTCGCGGGCGAAGAACCGCATCGGTCGGCGTAGAGAGTTCTCTGCCGAAGTTCAAAAGCGAAGGCGTGAACCCAGTGCTGCGGTTGAGGTTGGACCGCAATGCAAACGAAATCGAATCCAAATGCAGATCCCAGTCCCGCTGCTTTCGAGCATACGCCCCGAGCAGCGGCTTGATGTCGCGGTTCCGCCGCTCGGTCACATTTGCTTGTGGATGGTAACACGAAGTCTTACAATGCTTAATCCCGAGGGCCTGGCAGGTTGCCGCGAAGACTTTCGAGCAAAATATCGAGGCGTTGTCACTCACCAGTCTCTCGGGGAACCCGTAGCGACACCAGACCTCGGACAGCCTGCTCAGGACTCCCTTGGCTGTCACCTTCCGCATTGGAAACATCTCGACGAATCCGGTGAAGTGGCAAGTGACTACCAACACATGTTGATAGCCTCCGCTTGACCGCGGCAGGGGTCCCATCAAGTCGCAGGCCGCGATCTCCCATGGCCGCGTACTCACGATGGGCTCGAGCAGGCCGGGTGGTCTGCCGCCCCTGGGCTTGCGCTCTTGGCACACTGCGCAGCTACGGACATAACGGCACAGCTGCCCCTTCATGCCCGGCCAGGTAGCGAAACGGCGCAGCTTATGCCACGACTTCGGTGCACTGCCATGACCGTCCGCATCGTGGTAGTGACGCAGCGCTGCCACTCTGAGATCGCGGGGAATCACGGTCTTGAACGACTCACTTGAATCGCTCTCTTCCGGGAAGTAGCGCAGCAGGACGCCGTCCCCATCGATCAGGTAAGACTCCAGCTCACCTGCTTCAATGTCTGACTCCTGGGCGGTGGCACTTGGCCCTCTCGGTGTTCCGGAGTGCCGGAGCGTCTTTTCGCCCGTCTGGTCAGGATCCATCTCTTGCCTGAGCCGGTCGAAGATAGCGCGACAAAACGAATCGCTCTGCTGTGCTTCGTACAGTTCCGTTCGGTTGAACGCCGGTCCCAGTGAGGTAATCGCCTCAGCCAGCTGCGCGACGCCGCCACAGTGGGGAGCGGAGCGAGAGGCGGGATTTCCCGTCTCCTGGGGGATGGCCCCGCCTCCGTAGTCTGCTGCCTCGCGCGGTGGGGGATCCACGGGTGCGCGGGAGAGCGCGTCGGCCACCACATTTGTCGTGCCCTTCCGGTACCGAATTCGGTACTCGTACTTCTGCAGTGTCAAGGCCCAGCGCGCCAGTCTTCCGGCGGGTTCCTTGATTCGGGAGAGCCACGCGAGGGCCATATGGTCCGTCTCGATCGTGAATTCCGTCCCCTCGACATAATGATCGAACTTCTTAAGAGCAAAAATGATGGCGAGGCATTCGCGCTCACTCACCGTGTAGTTCTTCTCCGCCGGGTTCAGCGCCGATAATCGACGCAGAGTCTCGATGTTCCGTTCTTCTTGGGCACCAAAACCACCGGGAATCCCCAGGGTCCTGATGACCGGCGAATGATTCCCGACTTCAGGAGCTCATCGACTGCGGCATCTATCGCTTTTCGCTTCGCCAGGCTCACAGGACGCGGATTGGACTTCCAAGGGCGTGCGTCCCCAGTTTCAATGCGATGTTGCACCTGCTTAGTGCAGCCCGGCTGTTCGGTGAACATTTCGTCAAAGTTGTGCAGCAAAGCCGCCAACCTCTCTCGCTCTGGTCCGGACAGTCCATCGGCATTGGCCAACGGGTGGCCCATCTCGTCGCAGTGCTCGGCGGAGCTCGGAGTTGGGTGACTCATGGGCATGGCGTCGTCGCGGTCGGTTCTTTCCTGTTCTGTCGCTTTTCCCAGCGCTGCCGCCATGGCCCCCATGGAGCGCTCTCGGAAACTTGAAAGGGGTGCATGTGCCCCCTCTCGGTACCCGCCACTTGCCACGTCAATGATGATGCCAGTGTGGGCCAGGAAATCCCGTCCCAGAATGATGGGCACTGTCAGCCCGGCCAAATGGACGAACCGCTGTCTCTGCGCGCGTTGATTCCAACGTACCACGAGACGCACTGCTCCCCTCGAAGTCGTCGACCCACAAGCCAACTGGAAAGTGGTCTCCCCATGCCTCACCCGAACGGACTTCTGTTGGAGATGCCTGAGGACCTCGTCCCCAATTAGCGACGCACTAGCCCCGCTATCCAGAAGAGCTGCGAACTCCTTTCCCGCCACCGTCAGGGAAATAAATGGGGCCGCGGTGCTTGTCGCTGCTCCGACTCGATACGCCGTCGGCACGCACACGGTCGAAGGGGTGTCGGGGACCCGCTCGTTGGTCTGTTTCGCCGCCGATAACTTTATCGGCGGCCTCCTCCGTTTCCCGGAATCTGTCCTCGAGGTGACGAAGGTGGTCCTCGAAAGTTTCCGAGTACACAATGATGTCGTCCAGGTACGCGAGCGCGTGCTGCCACTTGGCATCTCCGAGCACTCCGTCGATCAACCGCTGAAATGTCATCGGTGCACCTGTTAATCCGAACGGCATCCGAGTGAACTCGAACAAGCCTCGGTGACACACGAATGCAGTTTTGCTTTCGTCGCCCGGGCTCATCTCCACTTGGAGGTAGCCTTTGCTTGCGTCGAGGGTAGTGAAATACTTCGCCTTCCCCAGATTCGAGATGATTTCTTCGATGCTCGGAAATGGATACGCATCTTTTACGGTCACCGCGTTCAAGCGCCGATAATCGACGCAGAGTCTCGATGTTCCGTTCTTCTTGGGCACCAAAACCACCGGGAATCCCCAGGGTCCTGATGACCGGCGAATGATTCCCGACTTCAGGAGCTCATCGACTGCGGCATCTATCGCTTTTCGCTTCGCCAGGCTCACAGGACGCGGATTGGACTTCCAAGGGCGTGCGTCCCCAGTTTCAATGCGATGTTGCACCTGCTTAGTGCAGCCCGGCTGTTCGGTGAACATTTCGTCAAAGTTGTGCAGCAAAGCCGCCAACCTCTCTCGCTCTGGTCCGGACAGTCCATCGGCATTGGCCAACGGGTGGCCCATCTCGTCGCAGTGCTCGGCGGAGCTCGGAGTTGGGTGACTCATGGGCATGGCGTCGTCGCGGTCGGTTCTTTCCTGTTCTGTCGCTTTTCCCAGCGCTGCCGCCATGGCCCCCATGGAGCGCTCTCGGAAACTTGAAAGGGGTGCATGTGCCCCCTCTCGGTACCCGCCACTTGCCACGTCAATGATGATGCCAGTGTGGGCCAGGAAATCCCGTCCCAGAATGATGGGCACTGTCAGCCCGGCCAAATGGACGAACCGCTGTCTCTGCGCGCGTTGATTCCAACGTACCACGAGACGCACTGCTCCCCTCGAAGTCGTCGACCCACAAGCCAACTGGAAAGTGGTCTCCCCATGCCTCACCCGAACGGACTTCTGTTGGAGATGCCTGAGGACCTCGTCCCCAATTAGCGACGCACTAGCCCCGCTATCCAGAAGAGCTGCGAACTCCTTTCCCGCCACCGTCAGGGAAATAAATGGGGCCGCGGTGCTTGTCGCTGCTCCGACTCGATACGCCGTCGGCACGCACACGGTCGAAGGGGTGTCGGGGACCCGCTCGTTGGTCTGTTTCGCCGCCGATAACTTTATCGGCGGCCTCCTCCGTTTCCCGGAATCTCCCTTGTGCAGTCGCTCCTATAGTGCCCGATTTCGTGGCACCGAAAGCAGCGGCCTCGCCAACCTGGGATAGGATTCTCCCCAGTGGGACGTCCGATGCGCTCACCCCTTTGTGGCAGCGGGTCGGCGGCAGCCTGCTCCTGGGCTGCGGCGATCCGTGGTGCGCCGGTCGGACGGAATTCCGTCGCGTGGACGGCCGCGCTCCCTCCTCGGCGCGATCCTGGCTCCAAGGCGTCATCCGTGAGCTCCCAGGGATTCCCGCTCGGCTCCCCGCTGGCCTCCGCCATTGCGGCCTCCCCCCGTCGATACCCACGTGGCACCGGCCCCTGCCACGCGCATCGCGGTTCGAGCGTGTCGATTGGTGCTGGGGGAAGGTGGTACCTGCGCTCCGCCAGTATGTCGGCCTGAACCCTGCGCGCCTCCTGTGCGAGCTCACTCAGACTTCCGAATGGGCGCCCACGCAGATACCGCGAGAAGGTGGGATGCGCCTGCCTCACCACCCGCTCGACCTGCTCCTGGTTCGTAGCATTCGGATCGGCGATCTGCAGGAGTTCCTGCATTGCCCGCAAGTACTCTCCGAAGGGCTCAGCGGGAGCCTGCGTTCTTTCCTCCAGTTCCCTGCGCATTCTTGGCAGGTAGTCTGCCGGCAAGAATTCTTGTCGGAAGAGGGCCGTGAACTCGTCGAGTGTTCCGGCTGACTCGCCCACAAGGCGATGCCACCTGGCTGCTGGGCCTACAAGAGCCACCGGCAGAACTCTGCCTAGCGTCTCCCTCTCTGTCAGGCCGGTAGCCTTCCGATATCGCTGGATTTCCAGCAAGAAGTCGGTCGCGCTCAGAGCTCGATCGCTGTGTCCGCTGTACTCCGGCACCGGAATGCGGATGAGGGTTCTTGGCGGCGGCGTTTGCCTCTGCATGCTCTGTAAGGCCTGAGCGAACGCCGCAACCAACGCCGTGGATTCACGGGACATCTCCGAGCTTTGCGGCATAGACACGACCGGCGCTACCGTCGGCGTGTCCGGACTCGGCGCTGCGGTCATCGCCGCGCCGTTCCGCTCCGCCAGCCCCGTCGATGTAGCGACGTCGGCCAAAAACATTAAATCCGTGAGGGCGAAATTACCCGTGGCCATCTCGAACAGTTGTTTGGACGTACCCTTCCCACTTTCGCAGTGCCGCGGTATAAACTCGCCAACCAGGGGGACCGCCCCGCGTGAACTTCCACGCAGTGTCGTCGACGGACGTTGCGACCGTAATTACGGCTCGCCTGCCCCACGTTGGGCGCCATTTGTAGGAAATCGCGTACCGCCGCCGATTCGCCATTTCCCACGTGGTCCGTCAACAAACCGAGTCCAGCCTGGTTCTTTCACGGGAGCGGGATTCCGCTCCCCGTTTATTCGTACAATAAAACACAACACTACAAAACACTCAATCTAAACTACAAATACAAGCTACATTACACAATTATTTACAAATGCACGTTCAGGCTAAAGCTAAACACAAAGGAGGCCCTTAGGCCTCGCGTCCCGCGATATCCTAGATCCGGTCGCCAGCGCCACCCACTTGCCTGCCAGTGCCTGCGTCTCGGTCGCGTCCGGAGTTCTTAGAGGCCTCTTGCCCCCTGCCCCACCGAGTATATCTATCGATGGGCGAGGAGGTTTCTCCTCGCCTGCCACGGGGGCGCCTGCAGCGCCCTCCAGTGGCTAGGAGAGAAAGCGGCGCGTCGGGAGCCGAATTCGAGATCCCGATCGACCCCGCGGCAACACGACCATGTGATCGTGTCGCGGCCAAGATTGGCCGAATGGTTTGATGGGCGCCCTCGTGAATTCACGGTGCGCCATAAGCTGTGAAGACGCCTGCATTGTGCAATAGCCCGAGTATGAGGCCACCCTTTCCGTGTAGAGCTTGGCTCACTACATCCTACTCTGATATCAGAAACTTAACGTTGCAAAACTTCTCATTGGCATCTGTCAAAGACTACCACTCATCACTGGAAATTTGAACGTCAACGTCACTAGTCGAGAAAACCAGTGGTTCCTCACATTCCTCCCCGTAGAATTCGGTTTCCGTGTACCATCAGACGTAAAGCAACCCACCAGTCCTAACCACACTTGCTTGATTTAGTCTTAGGATGGGACGTTGATTTATGTAAAGTATTTTTTCTTTACTGTATAATTCAGTGATCATTATTCTGTATTTTGATTGAATAAATAAAGGCAGAATATATACGCACACAAGCGTATTACAATGCGCCACAAAAGGTGTCGCTGCAACATCTCCGCAGATTAAGGTAAAAACCTGCAGATTTTAGGGGGATCGGAGGCCGAGTGGGCTAGTGCACACCCGCTCGGAGCACGTGGAGCGAAAGCTCGCGCTGCAGAACCCAGGGATCCTGGGTTTGAGCCCCATCCCTGCCCGTTTCGATCTGGATGAGCATCGTACCGGCGTGCGGTCGTGTATCACTACTACGTGGTGCACGTTAATAGCCGCGTCCCACTAGAGCGACAGACAGCAACAAACGACAGCGACACACGACAACGAGCGACAGACGACACCGACAGACAGCCTGTTTGTTGGAGTCCGCCGTCCCACCTGGCGGACACGACGCAGAACACGGGGACGAGGAAACTTGTTTCCTAGTGGGACTGGAGTTGTCAACAAAACACTTCAAAATACACAGACAAACAAAGTCTGGTGACGCGGTTTTCGTGTTTTGTTCTTTGGGCATAAAAGGCGCCGACAAACACGGTGAAAGGGGAGACGATTACTTTATTTCTTCATTAAAGCTTCCGCTTGCCTTCATTTGCCGTTGGCGACTTTCCGTAAACAGTCGTGACAATCGACACCAAACTTTTTCCGAACTAGAAATACCAGAATCGTTCTTTTTTTGGGCCATTCGGGGCATTCTAGGTGAGCGCCACGAAGTTTCACGCTGATTTTGAGGATGTTTATAACTTCATATTCTAATGATCGCGAGGACAAGCGCTCTTTGATGGACAATGTACGGTATCCCGATTATCACAGAACGTGATGACAAGTCTCTCGTCTGCCGGAATAACTTGCCACGGAACGTCGTGTCCTACTTCGTGGCAGAGTTGGGCAGTATCGCGATACAAATGTATCGCGATAGTATTTCAGAAATACATTTCGTATCTGTATTTCTGTATCGCGATACATTTTTTTTTACCAGTATCTGTATTCCTGTATCGAAATACATTCGGAATGTTTCTTTGTATCGCGATACAATCAGGATGAAATGTATTTCGTTACAATTCTTGAGAAATACTCCCCCCCCCCCCCCCCCCCCCCGAAAAAAAATAAAAATAAAAAAAGTAACAAGGCCGAACGCATTTTTTTTTTTTTACTTCTAAGTTCTAAGGGCTTAGAGTCAAGGAGATGCTGGGGTATTGTTACTATGCTGACCAAGGTTCCTTTTGATTCTGCAAACTATTTTTCTATACGTCCTCTTCTCTCTTCTGAGAAGTGTTGCGTAGTCGGGGACCCGAATCAGGTGGCGTGCCAGGAGTGGAGTCAGAGCATCTTCTGCCGCAGGTCCTTAGGTAGGGATTTCTTCAGTCATTGTTTCCCGGCAACCAATGTCCGCTGCTAACCGTCTCTCTTGCCTTAGCGTACAAAGTACACCCAGCCGGCAAAGCTGAGTCACATTCCGTTGCAACACCAGCCTGGCGGTGGTTGACCTGAAATAGTATACGAAGACTCACGCTGTGAAGTTTAACACATATTCGCATGCATCTACGGCTGCGCCAGTAACATTGCACGGCTCAAGGGTACGTCATCAGCCGACGTGAACGTATCCCGCTGCTCTGGTGATCCGAAACCCAGAAAGAGGCCAGAAGTGGCCTCGCTGTGCCATCCCAGACTACGTACTCCTGCGACTAGTCTCGAGACCGCTGTTTCTTGGACAGCTCGCACCTGTGCCGGCAATATCAGCACGCAATCCACGAGGTCTTTGTTTGGATAATGCTAGGCAAAACTTGAGGACTGCAATCCGCGCGTCGGTGGCGGAGGGTCGGTAGTAAGGACCTTCAGAACAGGGATGCTACCGTATCGTTTTTTCAACTGTAAAACAGAAGATAAGACATGTATTCCAAGATGCTTCAGGTGGTCCACTATTCTCAAAAATTACAAATGATACTGCATGCAATGCACGATCTTCAGCTAGGTAGCCTACAACGACAGTACGCATTGACTTTTCATACAGCAGCGTGGTAAAGTTTCATGTTCAAGCCACACCTACAGATAAAGAATTCCAGTTCATTCCACCGTGACATAATGTGATCAATGTTGACAGGATTCCCTCGTCAGACAGACAGGATCTCATGAAAGGGACCGCGGTCAGCAATTGTTGGAATGTTTTTTTGGGCCCATTGAAGACTCCTTGTCGTCCGAAAGCACTTCCTTCAAGGCAAAGTGCCAAGCCTACAGGAAAGTAATTTCGGCATCGAAAACATCCACTTCAAACTTCAAGCTTCATCTTAGTTGGCGTCTCAAAAAATTTGGAAAATGTATTGCAGTATCAGTATTTCTGTATTTGTATTTCTGCACTCCCTAAAATGTATTCCTGTATTTGTATTTCCAAATACTTTTTGCCTCTTTTTAAAATGTATTTCCGATACGTATCGCGATACATTTTTACAGATGTATCTTAGTATCAGTATTTTAGCTACTATTTCAATGTATCCCAGTATTTGTAGTTCCAAATAAATTTTTGAGTATTTCTGCCCAACCCTGCTTCGTGGTGAGCGGTCTTACTTTGGTCAGTCCTAGCACATGGGTATATCCATCCTGATGCAGCGGCGTAGACTTCGGCATCTTGAAGCACCACCTCGCGCACCAAGTTTTCGCGAGCAAAACCAGCCACAGCGAATTCCCTTTCGCAACACGACCACCCGGTGCCAGCCAGCAAGCCGCACCCGCAACCACTACGTGCAATCGATGGACCGGAAGTGCGGGGCCGGGAACGAGGAGTGGCCGCCGAGGGTTTCTCGTTCCGGGAGGAAGGGTTGAAGGGAGGCAACAGGAGGCATAAACGGGCGAGGAGGATAGGTTTGTCTCCGAGAGATGTTCCTCAGTGGGACTGCTTGCTGCGCTTCAAGTCCAACGACAGACAAGAACTCGTCCGTCGTCGATCGTTTGTCGGCGCTTGTCGGCGATTGTAGTGGGTGTCGGTCGTTGCAGTGGGACATCATCGGCGACACGGAACTTTGTGGTGTCGTCGGACAAAAACCGGTGTTTGTCGCTCTAGTGGGGCGAGGCTATACGGACCCCAAGTTAGCGGTTGTACTGCACTGGCTAAATTGCTCATCTACTTCTGGGACACAGGATGCCCACTGAGGCAGACCACTATCTAAATGAGAATTGCTGGATCGCGTTTGCCCGCTCCGCGAATGCGGCCAATGGCGGCCATCTTTTTTGTAAAGTTATATTACCTCTAGCCAAGGTACAGCTGCTGCAGCCACTATCATCCATTCATGGCAGACAGCGTTGTGGCAGTTGTGGTGGCAGGCTGCCATCAAAATAGCGTGGGTGATATTTCGTGCTTAAGTGAAATTGTTTGACGAAAAATATTTTTGAAACCAGGCGTCAACGGTACCCCGATCATTGAGGACCTGGTGAAAGTTTCACGAAATCGCAGCACCGGGGAAAAGCAGCACAGCACGCATCGAAAGAAGCATCGAAAGAAGCATCGAAAGCAGACGCCGGTACGGAGTCTGCTTTCAAAGCGAGCTGCGCTGCTTTTCCCCGGTGCTGCGCTTTCGTAGAACTTTCGCGGAGTCCTCAAAGATGAGGCTACCGTTCACGCCGTCTTTGAAGAGTCTACTTCGTCGAACAACTTCAATCAAGCACGAAATATAACCCACCGTACAGCGTACTAGACCCACGGCTATTTTATGGCAGCCTGCCGCCATTGCGCTGTCCGCCATATTACTATGATGGCGAGAGATAATATAACTATACCAAAAAGATGGCCGACCGTGGCCGCATTCCCGTCCATAGGCGGAGCTGGTCAAATGCGATCCAGCAAATAGACATAGAGATCAGTGAGGCAGACTAACTTCCGGCTGTATAAACATACACACAACAATTTGCTTTTGCTGCAGATTTTACTAAG